AGAAGGCTGGTGGTTCAAACCCACCAGCCACTCCTCGGAAGGAAGATGGGGCAATCTACTTCTGTAGTGATACTGCCTTGGAAACACAAGGAGGGGTTGCTAAGAATCGGGTCCGACTTGACGGCACATAACAACAACAACAACAACATATATAGTTATAATGGGTATTTTATAATTTTAACATTTTATAAAATTCATTATAAAGTGAGCATTTAGGAGTGTACATGATATCCTTTGAAATAGGTAAATGTGATTTTTCACAACAAATAATATGATTCAAACCCATGTTTTATAGACAACTTTCTTCTTTAAGGGAGCTCTGGTGGTGCAGTGGTTAAAACATTTGGCTGGTAACCAAAACGTCAGCAATTTGACCCACCAGCTGCTCCTTGGGAGAAAAATGAGGTAATCTGCTTCCATAAAGATTTACAGCCTTGGAAACTCTATGGGGCAGGTCTACTCTATCCTACAGGGTCATTATGAGTCGAAACTGGGTTGATGGCAGAGGTCTTGTTTGTTTGTTTCTTCTTTATGTAACAGACAGCATTTTTTGTCCCAGGAGATAGAAAATATTTAACCTAATCATTCTTATTTTTAGAATTATGTAAACTGAGTCAGAAAGGAGGTAGATAATTTTCTAGATGGGAGAAAAATCATATAATAAGTTTGTATTTATCTTAGTTTTAATTAGAAACAATTTATGTTGGTCTGGGTTATTAGCTCTTTTTAAGAAAGAGTTCATGTAGGCTGAGGAGTTGAAAAGAAAGAGCTTTGTGATTCCGTCATCCCAGTAAAACTCATTCTGAGTAACTATTTTATAATTTTATCCCTTTAGGAAGATTCCCCAAGTAATTTCTAGGTACTTAATACTTTATTTTAGAAATATATTGTGATTATTATGATTATTATTTTTCTCATTTAAGGTTTGACATTGTAATAGATTTCACCAGTCTCAGGAGCAGGGACTGTGTGACCATCCTCAATGGGAAGGCTTTCTCAAAGGACTGCAGAGAGCTGAGGCGGTGTGCGTGCGAGAGGACTGCAGGGGCAATGAGGCCCGAATGGTTCCATTAGTGCCCTGCACCATCAAGTGGAGCTGATCAACTCTCCAAGTACAGTTACCAACAAAGACAAATAAGACCAATGCAAAGGATTCCTGAGACACTGGGAAATAGAAAATAAACAGGGAAGGCAACCTGTCTGACTAGTACAAGTCGGGTTGGTTGCCATGTTTCTTATTCACAATTACCATTCTCACAGAGCTTGGGTTCATGCACATTTTTAACAGTCATAAGAAACAAACAACCCCCTTTTATTCTTCCCACCAGCCCCAGAAAAGCATAAATTTATAATCGACCATCTTGACTAATAGTTAACTTTCTATTTTTTTTCCCTTCCTTCTTTGCACTTAATATCATCTCCCTGTTTCTATGTTCTCTTTAATATTTGGAGAAATGAGAAACTTGCTGAAGTAGAAGAAATAAATGTGAAATAACATCCTTTGTCCAACAGTCAAGTAGCCCATAAAAATTTAGCAGTCATTCCTCTCTGTGCTACCAAATTCACAACTTATTCTTTGTGTTTCTTTCAATTCAAATATTTCCCTTTCCTACTTCCTCAACAAATCCCATGCCTGCTATACCTATGACTGCTTTCCAACTGGGTTAACTTTCTTTACTAGGATCTCATTTTCTTCAAGCATACTTCACTACGTCCACCATTTATGACCCCACTAATTGTCTCCTTTCTCCAGGAAGTTCTTTCAGGAAAGAAATTGTCTCAGTTTAGTTCCAAATCAGAATTACTGTCTTCTATTGATAACCCTGTGGTGCACAATTCTGTCTGACACACATTGGGTCATCATGAGTAGGAATCAACTCAATGACAACTTTTTTTTTTTTTTTCTTTTAATGTATCCTTTAAAGATATTGAAGACCAGGGAAAAAAAGGCAATCTTTTTTTGTGCACCTATAAGTAGCTCTCGGAAACCCAAGGAGGGGTCGCTATGAGTCGGGGCTGACTCGACGGCACATAACAACAACAACAACAACAACAACATAAGTAGCTCTGGTGTCATAGTAAGTAAGGCATTTGGCTGCTAACCAGAAGGTCGGTGGTTCAAACCCACCAGCTGCTCTGTGGGAGGAAGATGAGGCAATCTACTTTTGTA